AAGAGGAAGTCCCCAGCCACATTTCTTGCACTTGCGATGAATATGTTGCTCGCACATGCGATGCCAAACCACATCGTCGTCGGCCAGCGCCCTCCAACGTCGCGAAACCTGTGCGGCTTTACAAAGAGAAGTGGTGTCCAGGTAGCACAGAATTTTGAAAGAGATCTCCGGAGGAAGAGCGGCAATGAAGTCGATTCGGATGAGGTCACGGACGGTGGTGGAAATGAACGAGAGTTGAGGGAAGCAGCATTGAGCCATGATTCCCTGGAGTATGAGTTTTCGGTGCTTGGCTGGGGCGGCTGAGAAGAGCGACCAGACATGCGCAATGCCCTGCTGATCACTCTGAGGGAGCGACTCCAATTCCTAGGCCCCCGTTAGTCCACGATCATGAATGCAAACATTTTTTGCGGTGTCCTTCGGACGAAAATGGTAGAGGACATACCCGTTGCAATTTGTCCATTGTCGGTTCGTCGGCCTGCCGGCGACACTTACGGTCTGGGCGATGTCGATAGCAATAGCGGGAGTTTGCGCTGCTCAAAGCGGCAGGTTCTCTGTTTTGCGATCCGAGGGGGGCGTATTGGTCGGGAACGTGCTTTGCGAGGAAAGGGGCGACACTTTTGCCCACGAGCTTGGCCGAAGTTGCTGTTACGTTGTTGCGATTGTGGGGCTTCAGCTGGCTATTGTCGGCATCAGCATCGATCTCCTCCGCGGAGTCAGCGTGACCACCGAAGATCGATGTGAAGGCCGGGGGTGAGGATATGGCTTTCTCCTCCCGAGACCGTGTGCTTTCCATCTTGCTGATTGAAGATCTGTGGTAAATCCTCCCACGCGACGGCAGTCCGAAGTTGGGCCACTGGAACCGCAGCGCCGCTACTCGCCCGCTAGCGTGTGGCCTCGGCTACTGTAACCAGCGAGCTAGAAGCGCAGTCGTGGATAGCACCAGGCTGTATGGCTTCAAGATATACTATTTCTGCGACGGGTTCTAGCGCAGAAATAAAGAGAAAGAAGGTGGTGACAAGATAGTTGACTGGTGAGGACCCTGGGGAGAGAGGGGTGTTTGAGTAAAGTGGAGTTAAGTTGCCAATGACCGGGGCGGAGGACGGAGAAGGGTGGACGGGAGGCGGGAGACGGTCGCAAGTGGTGCAGGGCGATTAAAGGCTGTTAGTACAGAGTAGGTAGATAGACCGATAACAAGAAACGATAGGAGCTTGATCTGGACCAGCCAATCTCAAGAAAAGTGACCAGACAATCCTGGGGAAGGAGTATAAATATAAATGTCGAATAGAAGAATTCCAGAAGGACAACGAAGGAAAAAAAGACGTGATCACGCAAAGGCCGATGATGGACTCGTGCTGCCAGTCTCGATTGGGTCCAATCACGTGCGAGCGATGGCGCCATCGCCGCCTCCCGTCGCAACATCTCTCGCCTTTCCCTAAGCACCACTAAGCAGTACCGCTGCTGGTGCTTCTCTCCAGCGATCATCCCCCCCGAACTATTGCTATCTGGCCGCTGTCGCCATCGCCGGGGTCAATTGCGGATCCCCGACTTTGACTCAGATCCTCCAGACGATCGGCTAACTAGCTAGTCTGCTAGTGAGGGAGCTGCAGTCGAGCTGGTCCTCGAGCCGAAACTCCCATGGGCTCTCCGAGACGCTAAGGTCGCCTGCCTGAACTCCATCCATCCCGTCCTCTATCGTCACCTCCCTCTCCAATCCCGCATTCTCAGGCCTCTGGTCTTTCTGACCCCTGCTGCGAGGCGCAATTGCTCCGCTCAGGTATTTTTGGGTCCAATTCTAGCGTCGACTTTCTGGATTGGCATTACTCCCATAGCTCGTACAATATCACACTTCTTCTCACTGACGAAGCGTTGGGTATCAACCACCAGCTCCTCAGACCAGTCCTGGGCACGATAACCTCCCCCCCTCTTGCCTTCCATCCTGCTTCTTCTGCAGGCTTCCTTGTTTGCTACTGCAGGCGGTACGACAGGAAGCACGGTCGACGGAGACTTACACAGGTGTTACCTTACTAGGTCTTGTTGACCAGTCATCTGCAAACTCACCGCCAGATCCTTCTTTTTCCAGCAGGGCCTCGTCGATCGCACTTGAAACTGAGAACTGACGAAATCAAGGACTCGAAAATTTTCTGATTCCATGATTATTACAGCCCCATGAGGTGATTGTGCACTAGATTTATGACTTCTTACGACATAGCTACTGTAACGTTGCTCCGAAACTTACTCCTTCCGGCCGTTGAACGGCTCTGCCCTGAACCACTACACTCTGCTGTTTTATCGGGCATTATTGAGCCATTCTGTCAGGCTATCACGCCAGCATTCCTCCTTTCGCTATAATTTCCAATCAGCGCCAATTACGCCGACCCCTTTTCCAAAATGTCAGCATCAGGGTCGTTATCGGCCGGCAGCGATGCGTCTGGCCCCGATTCGCCGGCTGGAGACCAGGGCAATGCATTGCCTCAGTTGGATTCTCTCATTTCCCATCTGGTGGCAGCAAAACGGTCCCTGTCTTCCATCAATCACGTGTGGCGTGCCAATGAAATTGTAACTTCCGCTCGCTCTGCACTGGAAGAGAGTGTCGTGATTTCCGCACGGACTGGCTTTCTCCGACGCGGGCTTAACAATCAACTGCGGCTTCTATACAGTGTCCGCTCTGAAGTCGAAGAAGTCTCTCTCAGGGGCCGGTCGGAGTTCGCTAGTGTCTTGAAAAGCCTGGACACTGCTGATGCCCGATTGAGAAAGACGCTTGACTCCTTACGGGATACAATCGTTCACTCTTCATTTCGTCCCAACGGCGAAGAACCCAGAAGCTTACATGACTTTGTGGATGAACGTGGGGTTGAGGAGCTTCGCGCGGCTTTGAAGAGCTCAATTGATCGCACCAATGAGGCGCAGGCGGAACTGGATACTTCCAACTCCGCATTTGATGATGAACTCCAGTCCATCAAGCAAGCTCTGGGTAATTACCGAGAAGCTACCAAGTTAGCTTCCTCGTCCTCATCATCGTCATCCGCGTCTAATTCGAGCCTGCCGTCATTGTCATCAATGCCACCCATGTTACAGTCATTGGAAATGCATGCGCAGGAAATGGCCAATCTGCTAGAATCCTTAGTTCAGCATTTTGATCTTTGTGTAACTGCTGTAAAACATACGGAAGGCGGTGGAGCTGCCGCGCGATCCATTACCGGGGATATGCCCGCTGCCGTCACCGTCAGTGGCCGTGGAGTCCCGAATATCGAGCAAGGCATTCATGACAATCTAAACGCCCCACTTGATCCCTTGAGTGAGTCTGACTACCAGGAGATGGTGAATGTCTTGATCAAGGATGCAGCAGAGGCCGAAGACGTGGTCATGGAAATCCAAGATCGCATTGGCGACATGGAGTCTATACTTGAGAACGTCTTGTCTCAACGTGACGTTCTTCTCTCCATCTACAATGCTACTACTGGCGTCTTCCGACACCTGTCGTCTCTTGCAAGTGCGCGTCTACCGGGTTATATTGCTCAGGCACACAGCTTCACCCGTGTATGGGGCGAAGAGCACGATCGTATCAACGGTGGGCTAGCAGACCTGTCCGATCTCAACACCCTTTACGACGGGTTTTTAGAAGCCTATGATGGCTTGATTCTGGAAGTGGCACGCCGACGGCACGTACGACAGCGTGTGGAAAAGGTGCTTCGAGAAACGAAACACAAATTGGATCAGCTGTACGAAGAGGATGTCAATGCTCGCGAAACGTTCCGAGTCGAGCAGGGGGACTATTTGCCATCCGACATTTGGCCTGGTATCGGCCGCGAGCCGATGCGAATAGAATTCCGACGCATATCCGGGGGTAACCTCAAGGGTGTCTCTCCCGAACAGCCGGATGCACAAGACCAGCCAGCTGCTGAAGCCAATGAGCCTCAGCCAGCGCCCTCTGAAAGCACAGAGGAGGGAGAAGTTATTCCACATCTCCCCAAATCCCTGGTTGAAGAGGCTCTCCATCGCCTCAAGGCGAGGAATAGACAAGCCATGTAGTCTTGTGGTATCTGAGAGCTCGTCAATCCCATGATTGCCACTGGTTATTTCTTGGCAGTCATGAAACATACTAGTAGATGACCTAGATGATGAACACACATACAGGCTTTGTCCTATCCGATACCGGCCATGCCTCTTGCCAGTAAAGTGGATCAACTATACGTTAGACACATACTCCAGCGTATCATAACGACTCGCTCAGGACGTAAGTGCTACTGTGTATTTCCATTTGGCAGTTGGCAATGGACTGGAATGAAGATCAAAGAGAGCTCTGATAGGTCGTCCAATCAACCATGTAACTGATCAAATATTAGAATCTTACATTGAACCATGTTGCTTTTCCTTCCAGTCTATAGAAAATAAGCAGACCGGGCAATCTACCTAGAACCTAAAACTGTTGTTGAGCAACCTGTATTCTGTAGTGGCCGTTTGATGATAACCACGGGGTAGTATCACCCACCCGTTGCGGTACAGTTGCAGTATGGTAAAAGATAGTTTTAGGCAACTCTATGTGATCGCTGTCTTGTCGTGACTAGTTTTATATACTGTATAGAAATATATATATTAAAATTATAGTAACTTGTGTTTTTCCTTGCTGTTATAGACCCATTTCATCAAAGTTCCGTGATATATATTTTATCAATGATGGGCATTACTACCATGAGTATTGGTGGTACCCCAACCCACTTGAATAGACATATGAATAATACACGTTTCAAATATCTATTCTAGTTAATAATCATTGATAACCAAACATGTACATTTGTTAGTAACGACTTTGAAACTTTAAAAACTATTGATTACCATTATATACTCCCTCACCACGAAACTAGCCAGCGGCCTTAATGTGACTATGATAAGGCCTCTCCAGTCCTTGATGAAATAGACTACTCAACTATATTCAGAAACGAAATGAGGCAATTACACCGGTGCTGGAATCAATCCGACGTATCAAGTTTGCATTTCCTACACCCCCATATGCAGATCTATATGCTCATAGTATAAACTGGAAGATATATATGCATCCAACGAACCAATACCCACCCAATGAAAGGTCATAAAACATCATGAGATCATGTGCATTCCAAAACGAAACAGAAAATAAGATCGACTTTTGTGTTTTTCCCATAGTAGCCCAATTATCTCCAAAAATGCCTGCATGCATATCAGAAAGAAAAAATAAAAAAAAAAATAAGCGTTCAAATCAGCTTCATCCCTCATTTCTTCTTTCTCGAAGACGAAGAAACGAGTCGTTTCTTCATATGCTTCGGCATTTTATTCGCGCGCTTCTCGCGTTTCTCCTCCTTGACCTTTTGCTTGTGGTCGCGCTTCTCGTCCTTATCTTCGAAACGCTTACCGCGGGGCGCCTTCTTCGCGAAAGGATCTTTTTCTCCGTCTTCCGAGTCGGATTCCTCATCGACAGATACGCCACCGTCAGAGCCAGCCTCGGAACCTTCTTCCTCTTCATCCTCATCGTGGCCCTCTGCCTTCTTCTTCTTCTCGCCTGCGAGAAGATCCCGGTAAACGAGGTCATCGCCCTTACCGGCACGGACTTGCTCGGCGTCGCGCTCAAAGTCGTACACCTGTTCCAGGGTTTGAGGGATGTATTGTTGACGGAAGACGGCGGCGTCGACTTCAGTATCGCCCTCGGCGTTGTCATTGCGGGTGGCAAAGAGGTGCTCGATGGCTTCGAGCATTGGCTCTGCGGGTGTGACGGTGGTAGGGCCATCGCTGGAGATGACGAATTCAAAGACAGCCCGTTCGGTGAGGACATCGACGTTCTTGCGACGGAAGAAGTCGCTGATGTTCTTGATATCCATACGCAGGAACTCCAAACTGCGGGGGTGGTCGTGTTCGACACTCTGACTGACATCGATAATGTGGAGCTTGTTCTTGTGGTAAAGCATGTTGTATTCGCTCAGATCGGCGTGGACCAGGTGGCAGGTCTGGTACATCACGCGCATGTAGCCGAGCAACTCCATGTAGATCTCGCGCCACTTGGCATCGGGGTCGGGGATATCGAACTCAACGTCCTTGAGTCTAGGAGCGGCGACACCCTTGGAGCTTCCGACGAAGCCCATGACCAGGACGTGGAGGCGCAGGTGGATGGGCTCGGGGCAGGGGATGCCGGCAGCGTAGATACGGCGCAAGTTACGCATTTCCTTTTCCGCCCACAGCTTGACCATTGCCCGGTTGTTGCTCTTGCTGTATCCTTGTCTGAAACGGAATTCACCAGTGACATACTTGTCTCTGTCCTTGAAAACCAGGATGCTCGTCTTGTAGACCTTGATGGCACGGTGGAGGGGTGTCTCCTCATTATCGGGGTATGAGATGGAGTAGTAGACGTTGGCTTCTTTACCGGTCGACAGACATCCGTGAATCTCGGAGACAATCTCTCGGTTGATCATCTGTAGCAGGATCATACGTGTGCGGGGATCCAGCACCTGCTCGGAGGTAGCGCGGTCCGCCCTGTCGCCACCCCGATCACCGCGGGTCGCCATGCCTGACTGCATATCGTCCAACTTGATCTTGCCAGCATGCTTCGTCAATGACTTCACTTGATCGTCGACGGAGGCGCGAGTGTTGACAGACGGTTTCTGGGTGTTCGTCTTCGGTAAGGTCCACTTGGGAGTGTTGGGGTCCGCAGAGAGCTCGTTCGTTTTGCGCTGGCGATTGTAGGATTTCGTTAGATCGGCGGGGTTGGACGAAGTGAAGTCTTCTTCATCGAGTTCTTCTTCGAAGATATCATCGTAGTAGTCATCCTCTTCGTCTTCGTTTTGTTGTGCCGCAGAGTCTTGCCCCGCCATAGCGGGGAGGGAGCCGTCGGGGTTGACATATCCCTGGTTGGGGATATAGGTGTGCGCTGGGTTTAGGCCATCAGCCAAGCCGGACGCTTGCGCGTCAGCGTTCGGAGCAGCCATGACTGAATGTAAAGGGGTGAAAATCAAATGTGTGTAGAAGCGAAGTCTTGCAATTGATCTGAAAAAAACGGGTACCTTTTGGGTGTGGGACAGTCATATGGCTCACCGCCCGGCAGAACCCCGCGGGCTTCCCAAATGGAAGTAAACGCGTGCAAAAGATCCGGAGCTGATCGCCTCGATAACGCGTGGCTCTCCCCCAAAGTCAGCTTCGTCGCATGTCAAGCATCGACCCCAGCAACCTCCGTGCGCATCCATTCACCTCGCCGCCCTGCTCCGTCTAGTCAGGGCCTAGGCTCCTGATATCTTTCGCCTCGGGCGCGTGATGACTGGGTTGTTGTAATTGCCCCGATTCCTCGTGTCGCGCGTGCTTCGTCAAGATGTACGTTAAACAAATCATTATTCAAGGCTTTAAGAGGTATGTTGCAAGAGTGTACCCATGATGCTTGAGTGCGCCTTCCGGCTGACAGCAATTGCCTTACAGCTACAAGGACCAGACGGTCATCGAGCCATTCTCTCCGAAGCATAATGTCATCGTTGGTCGCAATGGCTCCGGAAAGAGTAACTTCTTCGCGGCCATTCGATTCGTCCTCAGCGATGCTTACACCCACCTGGGCCGAGAGGAACGCCAGGCCCTTCTTCACGTGCGTATCCCGTCGCAAGAAACAATACTGAGAGGCTTACAAAATGATAGGAAGGTTCGGGGTCCGCTGTAATGTCGGCTTACGTTGAAATCATCTTTGACAACTCTGACGATCGGTTTCCCACTGGCAAACCGGAAGTGGTCCTTCGCCGCACCATCGGACTGAAGAAGGACGAATACACGCTTGACCGCAAGAATGCGACGAAGTCCGATGTGATGAACCTGCTCGAATCTGCCGGGTTTTCCCGTTCGAACCCCTACTACATCGTGCCCCAGGGTCGTGTCACGGCTCTGACTAACATGAAGGACTCTGAACGTCTCAACCTTTTGAAGGAAGTCGCGGGAACTCAGGTATATGAAGCGCGCCGCGCGGAGTCATTGAAGATTATGCACGAAACGAACAACAAGCGATCTAAAATCGACGAGTTACTGGACTTCATCAACGAGCGTCTTGCGGAGCTGGAAGAAGAAAAGGACGAGTTGCGAAACTACCAGGATAAGGACAAGGAGCGCAGATGCTTGGAATACACAATCTACTCTCGCGAACAGCAAGAAATCTCCAGTTTCTTGGACAGTCTTGAAGAACAGCGTCAAACCGGCGTCGAGGACACCGATCTCAACCGTGACCGCTTCATCCAAGGAGAGAAGGAAATGGCCCAGATCGATGCTGAGATTGCCGAATGCAAGCAGCAGATTGAGTTTCTGAAGGTGGACAAGGCACAGCTAGAGGATGAGCGTCGTGAGGCCTCCAAGGCCCTTGCACAGGTGGAACTGCAGGCAAAATCACAATCGGACAATCAAGTCGCCGCTCAAGCCTCGAAGCTACGCCGCGACGAAGACCTGAAGGCCGTTCAGAGTGCCATCCAGGAACGTGAGCAAGAGCTGCAGCAATTGATGCCCCAGTTCAACGCCGCCAAGGATCAGGAGGATACTGTCAAGACGCAGCTTACCGAGGCAGAGACCGCCCGTCAGCGACTATATGCCAAGCAAGGCCGTAACTCTCGCTTCCGTAACAAGAGTGAGCGCGACAAGTGGCTGCAAGCAGCGATCAAGGATAACTACGCTTCTATCACTTCTGTCCAAGGTGTATTGGCACAGACACAGGAGGATATCAAGGAACTCGAAAACGACATAGCACTTCTGGAACCGGAGAGCGAGCGCTTGCGCAAGCAGATTGATGGCAGAGGCGACACAATCCATTCTGTCGAGCAGCAAGTTCAATCTGCGAAGGATGAGAGAGACCGGCTGATGGATCAGAGAAAGTATGTATTCCGTGATGCTCTAACTGTTTACTATGCCATGAATGTGATTAGCTGACGGTATGCTAGGGAATTGTGGAGAGAAGAAGCTAAGCTGGATTCGATCTTGTCGAATGCCTCCCACGAAGTGGAGCGTGCCGAGCGCAATTTGTCCCAGATGATGGACCACAATACGAGCCGTGGCATTGCTGCTGTCCGGAGAATCAAGCGCCAGTACAACCTCGAGGGAGTGTATGGCACCCTAGCGGAGCTGTTCGAAGTTAGTGATAGGTACCGGACCTCTGTCGAGGTCACAGCGGGCCAGAGTCTGTTCCACTATGTCGTCGACACGGATGAAACCGCCACAAAGGTGCTCGAGATCCTCCAGCAGGAGAAGGCTGGCAGGGTTACTTTCATGCCCCTGAACAGACTACGATCTCGACCCATCAACATGCCCAGGGCAAGTGACACGATCCCTATGATCGAGAAGCTTCAGTACGACTCCAAATACGAGAAGGCATTTGTTCACGTGTTTGGAAAGACCATCATCTGCCCGAACCTTCAAGTCGCCTCTCAATATGCCCGCAGTCACGGTGTCAATGCGATCACTCCTGAGGGAGACCGTTCGGATAAGAGAGGTGCCCTCACCGGTGGTTTCCACGATTCACGACAGTCCCGCCTTGATGCAGTGAAGAACCTCACTAAGTGGAGGGATGAGTATGAGACCAAGAAGAACCGTGGTTCTGAGATTCGAAAGGAGCTCGAGCAGCTCGACCAGCTCATCACGAGATCGGTCGGCGAGCTGCAGAAGCTGGAACAACAGAGACACCAGGTGCAAAACAGCAGTGGACCTATGCGGCAAGAGCTACGGGCCAAGCGCGACCTTCTCCAGAAGAAGAATGACAACCTTGATGCGAAGCGACGGGCGCTTCGCAACATCGAAGGCAACCTGGCAGCGGTGACTGACCAGGTTGGCGCGTTCGAGGCGGAACTGTCATCGCCGTTCCAGAAAGCGCTCAGCAATGAAGAAGAGGCGCGCTTAGAGGAGCTCAACAACACAGCTCAAGATCTTCGGCGACAGTACCAGGAGCTTTCCAGCCAGCGCAGTGAGCTTGAGGGAAGAAAATCCATCCTTGAGGTTGAACTGCGCGAGAACCTGAACCCGCGCCTTGACCAGCTTGTCGGCCAGGACATGGACTTGGCAGACGACGACAGTCAAGGCAACCTGAAGGAGACACAGCGCGAAATGAAGCGCCTTCACAAGGCACTGGAGAAACTCGGCCAGCGTCTCCAGCAGGTTGACGAGTCCATCGATCAGGCCAACGCTCGCGTGGGCGACCTGCAACAGAGGAATGCGGAGACACGGCGAGAATTGGAAGAACTGGCCAAGTCCATTGAGAAGCACCAGCGGCGCATGGAGAAGAGCATGCAGAAGAAGGCTGCCTTGACGAAGCAAGCCGCTGAGTGCGCTTCCAATATCCGTGACCTGGGCGTCCTCCCAGATGAGGCTTTCACCAAGTATAAGAACACGGATTCCAACGCCGTGGTTAAGAAGCTTCACAAGGTCAACGAGAGTCTCAAGAAGTACTCCCATGTCAACAAGAAGGCGTTTGAGCAATACAACAACTTCACCAAGCAGCGAGAGGCGCTGACAAGCCGAAGAGAAGAACTCGAAGCTTCCGAGAAATCCATCGACGACCTCATCAACGTGCTCGACCAGCGAAAGGACGAGGCCATCGAACGAACCTTCAAGCAGGTTTCCCGCGAGTTTGCCAATGTCTTTGAGAAGCTCGTCCCCGCTGGCCGTGGACGTCTGATCATCCAGCGTAAGACTGACCGCGCCCTTCGGCAACCCGACGAAGTCGACTCCGAGGACGAGGAGGCCCGCGAGAGCGTCGAGAACTATGTCGGAGTTGGCATCAGCGTCAGCTTCAACAGCAAACATGATGAACAGCAGCGTATCCAGCAGCTCAGTGGTGGACAAAAGAGTGAGTGACCACCGTTCTTATATTGATCAATCTTCCCTACTAACCCATCGTTAGGTCTTTGCGCCCTCGCCCTAGTCTTCGCCATCCAAGCCTGCGATCCCGCCCCCTTCTACCTGTTCGACGAGATCGATGCAAACCTCGACGCCCAATACCGAACTGCCGTGGCCCAGATGCTCAAGTCCATCTCCGACTCGACCAACGGCCAATTCATCTGCACCACTTTCCGACCCGAGATGTTGCACGTGGCCGAGAAGTGCTACGGCGTCAGCTTCCGGCAGAAGGCTAGTACGATCGATGTTGTGTCGAGAGAAGAAGCCTTGAAGTTCGTGGAGGAGCAGAAGTCGTGAAAATAGCGCCGTGGTAGTTCGAACTGATGTGCTGCTGCTTTAATGATGACCTGGGATGTTGGGTTGCAGGCGTATATGATCTGATGGGCTTCTTATTTGTTCTTATCTAGTTTTTCTTCTGATGTTGTTTGAGACAAGCGCACGATGAATGGTGACACTTGTGTGGCTTTCTTAGTTTATACTGCCGCCTCTTTTATGTACGCTACAGGTCCGGTCGATTTCTTTTTCGATTTGATTCGAGATTCCCAACCTTATGTTCTTTTTTTCAACTTCTATTGGCGTTTTATCCAATTGCGTCTGTCTTGATCTATCTCGTAAATGATGTCTTCGCTCCTCCACTCATCTATCTGTGTCTTAACTACCCCCATCCTGTATATCAAATCCTCACATCAACTGCACCAGAACTACCGCTTGACCCCCTCCTCCCCGGTCCACTCAATCAACAACCTCTCCGACACATCCCTAACAAGAACATGAACATGTTCCAAACTCCTGACACTCTGCAACGCCGCCCAATTCTTAAACCACAGCACCCGATCCCTCGCCTCCGCCTCACTCACCCCTTCATCCCTCACCACCGCATCCACAAACGTCCTTTGCACAAACGCCTCGATCAACGCCCGCGACTCATCCGTCACGTCCCCGTTCTCTTCCTTGACTGCCACGGGGGTCCGCAACCACACTACAATATGCGAGATCCCCGGCGCAAGACCGTAGGGCCAGTCGTTGCGCAGGATCTTGTAATCGGATGGGTCTGCAAACGGGATGGGGTTTTTGTAGGGGAAGG